TACAAGGCAAGAAAAAAATCATGTTTTAAGTCAATAATTGATTGCTTGCTCTCTCTTCTGTGTTAACAATATTTATACAGTACATTTTATTTATTTATTTTTAGATACAACTATTCTGCCAGAAAGTTGTAGCCCGTCGATAAGTTTCACTAAACTCCACCTCCATGAAAGCCTATAGTATTTGATGAACACAAATTATGTATGTGAGCTTAGCCTCGCACACAAACATGCGCAGTAGACATATGGTGCATATTTGAGAGTTGTTTCCTATTCTCTTTCTACTGCAGCTCACAGCAGCTGAAAGAAGCAGAGAGAGATGGAGAACTGCGTGGTTCCCCTGTGGGCACGGTGCAGTTGCAACATGTCTTCATTATCGTGGCAATTGTTTTACTATTTTCATCATTACAAGGGAAGGTGCCTTCACAACCAAGCCGACTTGTGTGCATATTGCAGTAGACGGGATAAGTGTTATATCTGCAGCTCCAATGTTATCACAGCATTCTCACTTCCAAAACAACTCAGCAAAAAAGTAGTGAAAGCAGCTAGTCAATTCAAACTAAAATGTTATAAAAAAGTTTCTGAGGGGCTCTTCTGGTCCACTTACCAAAACACATACTTCATTCCTACACAGACAGCAACTGCCAAAGTTTTCTTCAACACCTCAGGACTGCACCTCCATCTGCACTTCTCCTTCACTTTTACCTTTCACTCGCTGCTTTGATTCTGATAAAAAGATGGTGTGGGTTCGTCTCCCCAGCCACCCCTCTCTCCTGGAGGTTATCAGCTCCTTTATTATTTACCATCAGATCACACAGACAGACACGAGAACCTTGTTCTGCTAAACCTGGGCTAGAATGTCCACATGTAGCCTTTCTCTACTGTCTATGTGTGTCTATGTGTGTCTGTGTGTGTCTATGTGTATCTATGTGTATCTATGTGTATCTCTGTGTATCTATGTCTGCGTGTGTATGTGTGTATGTGTGCCTGTGTGTGTGTGTCCTTGGCTGCGGGCGGTGCTCTGTGAGGTTTTTCACTGTCTGAAGTTGTCCAGCCTCAGTGTCATTAGAGGATCTCTTTAATCCAGTCTTTGGGAAAAAACTTGTGCCGCAAATAGAACGCGCCTCCCTAACAAAACACCAAGTTTAAAGCAGTCCTTTCTTCTACCTCCTACCATCCCTCATCTCTTTCTTCTTTACTTTTTCCCTTTGCCCTGTGTTGCTTTTACTTCACCCTAGGGAGACATGCGTTGCCTTATCTGCGCAGGAGGACCACCCAGGAAAGATGACTCAGTGTGTTGTGCATTTTGTGTGTATGTGTGTGTGTTTGTAGTATTGCGCTCTCATTTGACTCACATTTTTCTGAACTTTTGCTGTTAATATTAATGCGTGCCCATACCTGCACAGATCGCTCACAGCGCTGCCTGTTGTTGCCGCTTGTGCGTGCGTGTGCCTTTGCTAATACTTTGAGCCTGAGTTTGGAATGAAAGAAGGAGACAGAGGTGAGAGGGGCCATGGAGCGGCCGACTGGAGAGGGATGAAGCTTCACTCCCCGTCACTTTGTCAAGTGTATTGTTTTGGGTCTTATACATTCCTAATTTACCTTGCGCTTTCAGCCTAAAATCACTTTTCTATTAACCATTAAGGCATAAATATCTAAATTGATTGTCATGATGTCAACAATTAAAGACACTGAGTACTTTTGATGGAGGGTCCACCACCTGCTTGTCTCCATGAAGATTTCACACAGTGGCATTAAACTGCAAATTGAATTATGGGTGTTTTTATTGCCTCTTCGCAGATTTGACCTGTAACTTGGAACTTTATATAATTACTCACTTGTCACCATGGACATAAATGAGTTTAAAGCAAAACTATAAAACATGGCAGGTCAAAGCAATTGAATCTCCATGGAAACAAGCAGGTTGCAGACCCCCAGAGTTGATTTGTCTTCCTAAATTAACCCAGAGTCATGCCTGAGGATGGACACACAAATATACATATAAAACCATTCTAATTCTGTGCATAGGGCTGCCAGTTCGATCCTATCTTAGATTAGATACACTTTTTTAATCTTTTTCAGGAAATTATTTTGATGCAGTAGTTCATTTACAATAGTAGCAAAAAAGACATTCATTCACAAATATTAAAATAGCAAAAAATTCAATTCTGTGCATTAAAGAGTCTTGTCGCAGCAGGAAAAAATTTCTTTCTAAAGGTGAATACTGTTGTTGTGTCCCTTAGCAAGACACTTAAACCCCTTCCCACTCCAGTCACTGCAGTGTGGTTCACAGTCACCACATGAACTCAAATACAGAAGACACATTCGTGAACAAGGCTGATACTGTAATCCAGATCAAAACTTCACAAAGTCTCTTGACAGTTCAAGGATGGGACAAGGAGATTACACAATTCCTGTATTTTAAATAATATGAAAACTAAGTTATATTCCAGGTTTTGATTAATTAGATACAAGCTATATAGTCTCTGGTTAAATACTGGAAATCACCTTAGCCCACATAACTATATTTTATCGAGGCTCACAAACAACTAAATAATATAGTAGTTTTGGTTAAGCTCACAACAGCAAACACACATATTTATAAATACTCTGTATATGGTTTTCTGCCCTCAATAGTCCACTATTTCTCCTAAGCTAAACTTTAATCAGATTTTTCCCTCTTTCTGGTCTGTTCCCAGTTATCCCAGTGTGCATGGCTGATAAAGACCATATCACCCTAAGCATCTGGAGAGCCTTCAGCAGAGGCTCTCCCCCACACCTTCAGACAACACATACAATAGTAAGAATACGACATACACAAACCGTAGGTGTGCATGTGTTTGTTATGTATTCTTATATGTGATATCGGACGTAATGGAAGTCTTCTTTGACAAAATTAGTGACAAAAATTAGTTAATGCACATTTTATTAATATTATGGATCATACAAACTCCAGCTTTAAGAAGACTTCATGACTTCAGTTTCAAAAAATATTAGGGTTCCTTTGTGAGTTTCAGAATTGCCATGTTAACTAGTCCTAAAGTTTCATGGATATTTTCGTGTGAAGGAAGAAAATACAACTTAGAAATGAATAACTTCTAAGTCTGGCTACTATATCATTGCAATGTTGCCTCTGAGCGCTTACACATTTTGATACTGACCATCCTACAGATCATGGTGACAAACCATGACTCCAAATTTCAAAAGCCATTATGCGTCACACTTCTTTTTCATCTACAGAAGGAGTCATCTCAAATTACAGTATTAATAAAGTGACAACTGTTCTTGCCTTCCAGTTGTTTTCGAAGACACATAAGAAAGGCCACATAAAAGACAAGAACACGTCAGAGGAGAGGGGCCCTGTCAGCCTTATTCATTTCCCAGAAGACCTTGTCCAGAAGTGCTGTGTCACAAAGCGGGGAAGCACAGGATGGTTTTCGAGAAGACCTTGGTTTGCCATCCTTTTGAACCCAAAACTATGAAGAATGATTTTTGTATTGAATTTGAGATTAGCCTGGGAAAAAAAGTCTTAGCACTAAAATAGCTGGAAGTTGTGCGTCACTCTGGTTTCTATGCACATCAAACAACTAGGCAACAGCGTTTCTGTAAATGTCTTTTTTCCTGTCTTTGAATTTCACCAATAAACAAAACAACATGATGAAACTGAAGGCAAAGGCTTGCACTGGATGGAGATGTGGGCTGTGAAAAACCCGGATTAGGAGCATGAACAGTGTGAGGCTGTCTTTTAATGGTGCAGAATTGAAACTGACCTCAATACTGCTGCCATTTTGGGGTCTTGTTATCATTGAAAGTATGAGAGCCAGTGTGCCTTTCAGAGTTCAGCGCAGCGGAGTCTTTGATTTATTGTTGCAGTCAGATTTTGAATCTCATTTTTAGCTTCTGATTCATGATTTAGACTCTGGAGACTACACACTTTTTTATAGTTAATGTTGAGTTGAGTGTATTTGTCCCATTCCAGTTATTCTCATCTGCATCTCTCTGATTTCTTGTTTCTACTCTCCTTCCAGAAGGCAAAAATATACTGTATCTGAAAAATAGTTGACATCACTATTAATGATGATTGTTAATGTCAACAGTCACAGAGCCAATCAGATGTTTTAACATGGGGCCTAACGCATAAATAATTTAATTATCAAACAATGATATTGCAAATACAGTGATACTTAATGATGCACTATGTAACTTTTCTAAACATCTTACAAAAAAAAAAAAAAACACATGTAAATGTAACTTGGACTGGTGTTGTCTGTGTTTGCTTGTCTCCATTCTGCATGTTTTGTGCTATCTGTTGGAAGTGTGAAATCCCTGTGAGCTTATTTCCGGTTATGAGTGAACCCTGCTATCCTCTGCTCGTTCTGAGAGTGAGTGTGCGTGTGTGATTTATGTCTTGGGAATGGGCGATAGATCCGGTGGTCATGCCTATCACCTGGTCTGTGTTCACCCCAGCTTTAAAAACTGTCAAGGCCCCACCACACCTGGCTGCTTCAGTCAACCATAGCTCACAGACACTCCACATACACATATTACTGGAAAATACTGCTACTACTGTGTGTGCGTGTACATGACCGCTTACATACACACGCATACTGGCTCTGTTCTTCACGCAGGCTAATCAAAGATGAAGTGTCCACATGTGCTCCAAACATCTGGTTCTCTGTCACAAGCAGGAACTATGCTTTTTTATTGCCTACTGCAAACATTTACAGGCAACAATAGAAAAATGTATGGGAATAATATTCTCTCTCTTCCATCTGGCTTGATCTTATTAGCTAATATAATGGATATGGAAAGGATTTACTCAGGAACATGTGAGACTGTTTGATTCAGTCATATCAGTCTAACGTCATCAAAGACATGGTGGATTAATGTACCCAAACTGTCAACAATGTTTATTAAATCAAAATATTATGAAATGCAATAGTTTGTACATAATCCTTTTTCCTTCTGTTGGATACTAACTCTAACTGTCTCCATCTCTCCAGGCCCTGCAGGAAAAGGTGGAGAGTCTACAGATGCAGCTTCACAGCTCAGAGAAGAAGCTACTGAGCAAAGAATTAGAGACGGAAGAGAAGGTAAATTGTGGCCACCTGTTATAAATGTATAGTTTTATACATTTTCCTCTTGGTCCAACTTGTCTGATCTGAGACAAAAAGTAAATTAGTATGTTATGAACAATCCACTGACCCACATGTTGGCGATTTGATCTCAGCTCCCACAGGTGAATACTCCTGCTGTGCCCTTGGGCAAGACACTTAAGACACCATGTTTGTGCACTCTGCTGTATGAATCTGCAGTATGTGTGAATGGGTGAGTGGTTCCTTGATGTAAAACGCTTTGAGGAACTTAGACTGGGAAGGTAGAAAAGTGTATGTACATCATATTGATACTGAGAACTGGTAGTAGATGGAACTTTAATGTAATTACTCTACAAAGTTCATAAACGGTAAATAACAGCTTTGGTTTATTTACCTATATATTTTAAGGCAAACCAAACAATCTGTGCCCATATCAGCCTCTCCTTTTTAGCTGTGATCCTTACCAGAGCCTCCAGGGGGCCACAGCAGAAAAAACAAAAACCTACCTTTCCTTGTATTCTCATTGCACTGGCTCATCCTGCATTTGAGACCCTGTTGTATGCCCCCTCGCGCATTTCCAGAATTCCTTCAGTCTTTCGCCCCCAGGAACAGATCTTGGGGCCAGGAATGCCACCACTGGCTGTGTGCAGATGGGAGAGCCCTGTAATCACTTCTCTTTGACCTTGACACACACAGAGAAGAAAGCCCTAATAATAATGATTGTGGTGGCAGGAGGCAGGCTGGTATGTACACCAAAGGCATTCACTGCGGCGCGTCCCCCTCTGATCCTCCCTCTGACCCCTGACACACTTCACACATAGGCCCACACCTCGCTGTCTCACTGCCGTAAATCTACAGAGAAGGGTCACCGTCTTTTAGGAGCACTTGGTCACAAAGCCAGTCGCAAAGACGCTGCATGCGGCTCCTCCTGGCTCCTCCTGACTCTTCCTGACTCCGGACCTGTTGGCTGTAATGTCACATCACAGGGGCTTAAGTTACCTCTGCAGTTACCTCTTTTGTTGTTTTATATACTGCCCAAGATTTATGGTTAAAATGATGTTAGTCTATATATCTAATCATTCTAGAGTAGACCTGTATATGTATATGTATATATATGTGTGTGTGTGTGTGTGTGTGTGTGTGTGTGTGTGTGTGTGTGTGTGTGTATATATATATATATATATATATATACACACACACACACACACACACACACACACACACATATATATATATATATATATATATATATATATATATATATATATATATATATATACATATACATATATACATATAATGTTGGGCTCAGTATTTATCGTGTGTACAATTTCTTTGTAGTAATAGTGCTGAGATTTTTGCAATTTTTTGAAATAATAGGATTTGAAATGTAGATTCCTGAATAAATACAGGCCTAATAAATTGTTAAAGTTCATTCTGCTGTTTATCTATAGCAGCTCATGCCTTTTAATGATACATTTTTTTAAAAGGTTTACTGGGATTATCCTGCTTTGTGTCAATGGCTTAAAGTAGGTTCAGCATTGTCACTTATCTCACTATTTCTCTGTAGCAATATATCATACTTCAAAATTCATAATTGTGATAGGCCTAGTTTATATAGTGGAAATATGGCATATAGCAAAACAAATTTAAAAATGCTTTCTTTGTATTGACATAACAAAAGCATTTTTCACAATAACAGTCCAATTTCTAAGACTAAGCCACATACTTTTACTAACAGGGGATTAAGTGTTGACCTTTCAGACTTACTTTTTTAGTAAACATCTACACATGCTGTTTTTTGTAAGATTTAGGGCTAGCCAGACTACTCTGGACATAATCTAAAGCATTTCTAGCAAATAAACCTAACCTCATACCGTATATGGCAGTCACTCTGCAAATAGCACCTATATAGAGGTTAGATATGAATATTTTAGATGGTTTTGTCAGAGCAAGCATTTGGGATCAGTTTACCCATTTGCATGTTTAGTAATATGGAGCAGACTGTTTAGCTGAGGCAGCATTACAGTCCAGAGGCACAAACAGAAAGTGAGTCTGAGCCAGGCAAAGCTCTTTTTGGTATTCATTTACAGGGTTACTGGGGTTACGCATGCAAGGGATCATCCACTGAACTGGAGTCAACGCTCTGACAATGTGAGGACCAGTGTCTCGAAATCTTATCTGTTTTGTATCACTATCAGCAGACTTAAGGGTCCTGGTCTGGTGGTCAGGTGAGAGTGGTGTCACTGCTGTGGTGTAGCTCATATTTAAAGATCCTACATTACTCGAAATTGTCATGTGAGTGTTTAGGCATGTTTGAATGTTGTTACCTCCTCAAAAACATATCCTGGAGTTGTGTTTTGTTTCATTCACACATGTTTGAGCAATCCTAGATTATCGAGCTGCATCTCTAAAGCTCAAAATGCTCTGTTCCACCTTGTGATGTCATGAAGCAGTAGTTTGCAAGTTAACAGCTCCTTTTACCCTTTCTTTAGTGGAGATTGGCAATTCCAGGGCTGAAAGTATCAACATTATTCTGGTGAAGGTGTGTGGAGTTTAAAAACACAGTAGGGTACTTCTTGTATTACCGCGTGACATCACAAGGTGGAACAGAGTGTGTTGTGTGTTGTGTGAATGAAACAAAACACAACTCTTGTTATGTGTTTGTTGAGGAAACAACATAATATAAGATGAGAAAATGGTGTGATATGGCGCTTTAACACTGTACATATATTACCATTGTTTTGTGTTTAAGAACTCCTCTGCCTGTTCACGCCATCATATTGGCCCAGTTTATCTGCTAAAACGTGTCTTTGTAATCTGACCCTGACACGCTAGCACAGCCTTTCTGACCAGATTTCTCACAGATGCTGCGTTTGCGTGCCTCGATTTGAAGTTTTGTTTTGTGTTCATATTTTCACCTCCCATAAAATTAACTATGTCACTTTTCTGGTGGGGGTCTGCCACATGCTTGTCTTCAAGGAGATGTTATTGTTTTGCCTAGAATGTTGCGCTAAATGCTCCGTTAAACTTATCAATCTCCATAGAGACAAGCAAAGCCAAGTGGCCAGGTCAGATCTATAGAGAGGCAAGCCTAGTCTAAGAAAGGGTCTATGTCAAGGTACCCATATAATCAAAAAAGTGAGACAGTTCACTTTTAACTAGCCAGGCTGGTGTCACCTAGTGCCTCCAGCGACTAGGTCAGGAATCGGAATACACTAGACAGTTTGCAAGAACCCTAGAAGTTGTAGACCTCATACCTGGCCAGTCAGTGAAGAGCTGTGAAGCCATGACATCAAACTCAAGCACCTGTCTGGGTCCCTTTTGTGGTACAGCACAACAGTAAACAAAGCTGTCGAGATGGATGCAGACGAAGCCATATATTCTGTGTTGGTAACGATTCTCGAGATTGAGGATTTAAAGCTGGAACAAAGAGAATGTTTGGTGAATTTTATCAAGGGGAAAGACATTATTGCCCTTCTTCCTACGGGATTTGGTGCATTACATACATCACAACCAAATAGCAACGACTGATAAAAAAAAAAAAAAAAAAGTACCTGCCTACCATCGAGTGAACGAATCCTAATGCTGCGAGGTCAAACAGTTTCCAGGAAGTGAAACTGGCTGATGAATCAAGCTAAATTTTAACACAATGGGGCACACTTTTAGAAATGTTTAATTGCAAATGATAATTTCTGATCTAAACAGCTGTCATATATGACAGATAGATATGTCAATAGTTAATATTTTTTACTTGGTTTATCAAACTTTTGGGTTTTGGTTTTGCTCTTAATACTACCACCTCCTCTTTTTGAAGGCTTGCTCTTTGGTCTGAACTGTCCATGGGAGCATTCATGCCCAATAATTTTGTCCAGACTAAGTCCAATTGACTGAAAGTTGCAGTTGTGAAAGCACACTTAGTAAAAAAATAATTTCTGTGGTTATTTCCGTACTTTTGCAGGCACAGATTTTGAGATGTGTTGTAGAGTTGTCTTTTCTTTAGGCACATTACATCAGCAGCTCCCACACTTCTAACAACTTCACTCAGATCTGTAGCCACTTGTAATCTCCTCCTCCTCCTCCTCTTTTCTTCCCAATTTCATGAAACACTTTTCTTTTTCCCCATCTTGCCGTGAAGCGTTTTTGAATTCAAATCGCTCCTCGGTGAACTCCGGAGCATGCGGAGGTGCAAACTTTGTGAGTGGCATCGTCTTTCATGTACCCCTTGTTCTTGACACTTTGGAACAAGGGGGTAAATCAAAAATGTCTCCCCAGCAGCAGCTCTTTTGCCCCTGTGCACACACACACACACACAGACACGCGCACACACACACAGACACACGCACACACGCACACACTAGCTTCATTAGCATACATCAAGCTTCCCAACATCGTGACAAACCTGTTCAGGGCTTGTTCCTTTTCTGCTGGCAGCTGTCAAAAACACCAGCCATGTGACAGTACCAAACGCATGGGGAAGTCACAACCACAATCTAAAGACTATATATAGATGAAACGTTGTCATTTTAAGATGTCTGTGAGGGGAAAAACGACTGCCGCTTCTCCCCGTCTTCAAAACTGCACAGAAACTCATCAGGAACAAATGCTTATTTTAAACAAGATGTGTAGCTCAAGTCTGATTTTTCCCTTCTGAAAGTCAAAGTCCTTTCTTTGGAGTATCCTGGCACAATTTTTCACACTTGTGTTTTTTTTATTTTCTTTCCTTTTCACTCGCGTTTCAAGTCCGTCAATGACCAAAAGCTCACAGCAGTTTTGATCAGTGCCATACTTCTAACACGCACCTGTCTTCACGGCGAGAGCAAGGTGTTTTTATGTTACCACCTGTCAGGAAATAACACGTCTTTGCTGTACAAGCTGTTCAAAGACAGAAATTGTCTATATGTTGTGAAGATGTAATGGGAAAGAATATAGACGTCTTTAGGAACTTTGAGGGCTGAATCTGAAGACAGATTCACTATTTGGTTGTATGTCTTTGAAAAGTCACTGCCTCACATTTCATTGTACACGTAGTTCAGGTTACTATGGGGAGACAAATGGTTTAATTTAGTGATTCTAACAATCAGTATAAAAGCTTGTTAAAGTATGTTAAACTTCTATGTGTTTCACTTGTTATGCTATGATGTAATATCATTTTCACGAGCTGTCTATTACTCTGTTATAAATTGGTAATCCTGATTTATTGCAAGGAGATTGTGAATTCAGTCTGGGATGGTCAGTATTGGTAGCCTGATTCGTCAGCTGGTTTCACTTCATGGAAACCGTCTAATGCTAGAATTCGTCCTCTCGACAGTAGGCAGGTACTTTTTTTTCATTTAAACAATCACTGTTATTTGGTTGTGACATATGTAATGCACCGCTAACGGGGCTAATTGGTATGTTAAGCTTTTCCCAAATCCCGTAGGAAGAAGGGCAATAACGTCTTTCCCCTTGATAAAATTCACCAAACATTCTCTTTGTTCCGGCTTTAAATTCTTGATCTCGGGAATCGTTGCCAACATAGAATGTATGACTCTTCGCTGATTAGCTGGTGCCCGAACTCGCACTTCTGGCATTCTTGCAAACAATCTAGAGCATTCTGATTCCTGACCTGGTCGCTGGTGAGAAATGAAATTGAGCAGAGGCACTAGGTGATGCCAGCCTGGCTACAGTATTGGTGCAAATATGATACCTATGTTTTTTTTTTCTTTTGCCTCTATGCCCATGTGTCGTGCCCATGTTTGTCACAGACTAGTGAGTTTAAATGGAAATAAAAGAGCAATTACCCAAAAAATATGTCTGTTTGTTAAAAGGGATCTATATTAGAATGTTTCCTCATCAAAAACATACCTGGAGTTGTGTTTTGTTTCATTCACACATGTTTAGCACACAAACCCTGCATATAGCCCTGCACTCTGTTCCACCTTGTGATGTCATGTGGTAATACAGAAAATGCTCCACTGTGTTTTTAAACTTTTAAACTTTACTTGAATCATTTGGATGATCTCAGCCCTTGAATTGACAATTTCTACTGAACAAAAGGTAAAATGTAGCGGTTAACTTGAAAACTACCACTTCATGACATCACAAGGTGGAACAGAGCATCTTGAGCTTTGGAGATTTAGACAGACTAATAATGCAAGATTACAGAACACGATTAGAGGCATGTTTTTTGATGAGATAACAACATTATATAATGACTTAAAGCTCACAAGAGTCAATTTTGTATAATATAAGATCTTTAACACAATCATGCAACAAATTACCATCCCTGATAAATCCACTTGTAATATTTTTTACAAAAGTGAAAAGTTAATTTGTGAATGTAACTACAGTTTGTGGTAGGCCTTGTTATAGATTTTAAATATGAATATTATTTATCTGTCACAGTAATAAGACAAATTTTGTCTGCTGGTATTGCCTGAATCCCAGTTTTAATGGTGCTGATATCTGAGAATAGGAAGAGAGTTGTTGTGTATAAATTGGCCCTTGTACATTTCTTATTGTTCTTGTACCACTCTTAACACCCATAGTAGCTGGCCTGGACCTCCATCACGTCAATGGAAACAAAATCTCAGGAGCAGGACGTCTGACTGATCTGCTGCCAGTTTCAAGCAGTTTTAATGTCTCATGTACATTCTCCAGGCTTCCCCGCTGGTCCCTGTGTCTTGGTGATTTGGCCCTAATGTATGGGAGGCAAAATGGAGTCAGCAGCATCGCCGCAAAGGAGCTTGTAATTTAGGTCCGAGTGGATCTCTCATTGCCGCGGCGACTGCACCATACAGGAACCAAGAATGCACAGCTAAGGATCTAGTCTTTTGAAGAATCAAGACTTGTGTTCAAAGCGGTTGGTAAAGGATGTGTTTATTCAACCATTGTTTATTGCTTTGGTCTGAGTTAGCCGAGTGTGTTTTGTCTTGGCCTGCCATCTTGTTATGACTACAGAAAATGCTATAGATAGACTTTTTCAAAATTGCTCCCATTTTTTTAACCTCTGGACAATGAAATTAAAGCTTTTAAATGATGTTTTTGCCACTTGTTTGAAAGAGCTACTCTGAAATTAGCCTTAAGCCTTTCGCACAGGCTATAAAGGACATGGATTCTTGACTTTTTGGCCAAACATTTTTTTAAACAAACAGGGCAGGAGTTAGAGGAAAAAAATTGGCAAAAAGTTGTGGCTGGCTAGTCTACAACAAGCTGTGCTGAGACAAAGTGAACTGCTCCATGTTGGGATGGTTTATACTGGGGCTTGCTTTGAAGTGCTTCCCAATCCCCTTTCATTGTGCCCAGGAAGATTAATTAGCTAAAGCCAGAACAATCAGTTAAATCCACAACAGGAAAATTATTTTAGGAAAACCAATCTTACCCCCTCCCCCCAGTTCACTTCAGTCATGCTTCAAAGGCAGGACTGATGAAGAGGTGGAGATTTGAACGTTCGCTGGACAACTGTTGGGCCTCTCTGTCAAACACATTATGGGCCTTCAAATGCCTCTGCTCTCCCCTGGTTACACCTTCAAGTATGTGGCCACAATCTGACACTAGTCATTTTTCACATCCCCTAATCCATTCTATGCAACGTAAAATCATTTGTAAACATTGTACTGAATTCAGGATACACCCAGTTTCCTAGTATACTTCATCTATCAATTTCTGATAGTATTACATTTATTTTGCATCCAAGTACCAAATTAACACATTCTTTGTATGTTTGCACTGTATGAATAATGGATACGGACAGTGTTTTAGGTCATTTGTGAGATGATCCCACACATTTCATGGTCATTGGCTTTGACATTGGAGGTTTCTCAAAAAAGCAAGATTCACATTATTGTATGCAATAGCATTTCATGGTCTCAATATATGGAGCAGTTATTTCTACATCTTCAATGTTGTAAATTCTTGCTTACAAGTACCTCTGTGTGCCCAACCATGTGTGTTTGTGGCTAAAAAGGGGGTTGTGCTAACCAAAACCCTTTTCAAGTTCTATAATCAGACTTGGGTTTTAGTGCAGTGTAATTTAGCCCCAGACAGACTTCCTCTTGGTCCTCCCTAGTGGAGCTAGCACTACTAGCTTATGAGCTGCTGCCTTGTTTGATGTGTCGTGCCCTCCATGGAGGCCCTGCGGTCTCCCAAAGCCAGCTGTGACAAACACCGAGCAGTGCATTGTGTCAGGCGTGGCTTTGACGGTGAGCAGCCAGTAGGGGGAGCCATGCTGAGTCAGAGCACTGTGCCAGCCTGTGGACCCCCTGTGGAGATGTGAAGAGGCTGTGAAGAGTGAGGGAATACTCGGAGCTGTGAATAAAGAGCCTGGGATACCCACTGTCTGACTGCTCTAATAGACATGTTCATTTAGGCGCCGTCTGCCTGAGTGCATGTCATTTACAGTCGTGTTTTCATCTCCATGATTAGTGCATAATTAACCACTTAATGAACCTCTTCACTCGTTTCTAATCAGTATAACACAGATGATGGTTACAAAATAATAAAATGAGTGTTATAGAATATAATAAATTGTCAGAATGAAAACAGCATTAACAATATTTTTAATTAAGATGATATTTCTGGTTTTATGTTGTTTTTCAGGTGACCGCAGTACGCCAGGAGTATGAGGAGAAAATAAAAGGCCTGATGCCATTTGAGCTGAGACAAGAACTAGAGGACACAATTACATCACTCAAATCCCAGGTATGACATAAAATAATGTGACTGGTGCCCACTGAAACTTCATTGGTAAAAACAAGAAGTATTTTGAGCAATGTAAACTATGACTTTTTTTTGCCTCAATACAGAATGGGAATACATTCCACAAACGAATTTCTACAATACATACTTCACATTTTTATATCAGATGCTCTGTCCAACCCAACTTACTTTAGGTGTGGGACCAGCTCAGGATGTACACTGGCTTGTGATCCTATACAAGATCAGGTTTCTCAAAAATGCAACTGACAGGGCATGTGTATGAAGTATATTTTTGGAGAAAGGTATAGAAGGTTATCTCCATGTCTTAGGAGTCACGTGACCACATTTCACTGGCTGCCTGTGTGTACTTTGCCAGCATGAGGTGCCAAATGAAATGCTAGACTTTTCCTGAGGTCTCCCCCACTGGAAGGAATTCACCCTGAGCTGTGGTGAGCGCCAGTCCCAGAACAATACTGATTCTTTCGGGGGCTGCGATTATTGTGCCAGTCTGTAGATGTAGATTCAGAGCAGGTTTATTTTCACTTGGACTAAAGACACTTCATAAATAAACTCACACTTTGTTTCTGAACAAAAGGAATGGTCTGGCTTCATGTTGTAACTTCTACTAACCTACCTCATAATGTGCCCTCTGTCCCCCAGTGCCCTAACCCTGGTGCCCTAAAGTGCTGACCTCAAGCCCCTGCTGTCCTGACCTCTGCTCTCAACAACCAGTCTATTCTTCCACTAGGCTCTCTCCATCTGACCTCATCCTCTCCAGAGCCTCTCCTACCTCCCCTCTTTTCTCTATCGTTGGCTGATCTTGTTTCTTCAGCATTGCTCTTTTCTTAATCTCATTGTAATGACCTAGGGAGGGAGCATTAGGCATTTCTTTGATGCTGGGCTGTGGGCTCTGTGTGTTGCAGGTTAATTTCCTTCAGAAGAGAGCAACTCTTCTACAGGAAGACCTGGATGCCTGTCGCAGCAGGAGGTCAGCCCCATTGTTTGGACTCCATAGGATCCTGTGTGCATATGTTGTTGTTGCACGAGAACCACGCTATAGATACTTCTTTGTGAAAATATGTTCAGTCATTTGGAAAATCAAGAAATACCTTTAGCAAAAGAAGAAAAACAAGCACATCTGTTTTGTGAAATATTTTATCTTTTCTAATCTTTAGTCTTATTTACTCCAAACATGCCAACCAACTTTAAAATCTCAATCCAGTTTAGAAACAATTGCTGCTTACAAATTGGCATGGAAATTGAAATGGGCAGATTGTATTTTGGTTATCTATTCAAAATAATTCAATCTAATCTTCCGTATAAACATGGTTTAAGCATAAAATTACATCTCGATTATTATCAGCACAATGTCCAATGTGCATTTTCTGAATTTGAACCCTTTTTTAGGTTTTGAAATCATCTAAACTCACTCACTCGGCTCTTGTTTGTCGGTTGAACATGATACAATGCACATACATATTCCCCAGTCTCTACTTACAGCCTCCCAGTCCCAAAGATAAACCCTTTGATATGCGTGCCACCCATAACATGCTCAAATAATTTGTGTACACACAGATATATGCAACCAGGCTCTGATTACTGCATAGCCCCTGCCTGTACTGTTACTACAATCAGTGCCATCTTTTTACAGATACATGCTGTGTTTTAATTTGTTTTTGCTCATTCTTCACAGGTAACACTGAGGCCGTGTAACCTGTCCACACAAATGAAGGACCTTGCCAAAAGTGAGCTTTATGACAGAACTGTTTATTCCATTTGTCATTTTACATCTGTTATTTTGTTTATTGCTGTTTTATCACTTGAAATATTTATTAACGGACCATCGTTTCTTTTCCGCATCTTGTACTCTGTGAACTGTTTTGACGTTTGTGTTTGATTTCCTTTTACTACCGAGCCCTCATTAAATAAACCACTTTGCATCATTTCTGTTGCCATGTTTTTCATCTTCAAAACGCATCAGAATTAAGCCATCAATTAGAGGAAGTCACGCTGTGGCCTGTGTTTTCTTATGACCGCAACATGCATGCTAACCCAAGATTAGCTTTGAAATGTTCTGCACTGAAGTCCGAGACCTTGAATCACCATCTCCCCTGTTGCTATTAAACTCTTTTTCGTTTGGTCCAAGCCCCTATCTGAACTTTAAAGACATGGTTTGTGGTTGAGTCCGATAAAGAGCGCCGCGAGTCCATTGTTTGAACCCTCTGCCAAACGCTACATTTCTTGGGCCCAGTTTTTCTGCCTCTACCACAATTTCGCATTTGACCACTTAAAAACCTAAACCGAAGCGTCCAAAAGCTGGAATCTGAGAAATGACCACTGTGTACGGTCCGATATCTCCAAAGTGCAGTGGTTTCATGACGCCAACAACATTTGGCTAACTCGAAGGGGGCTTTTTAATGATCCTCCATCTTTTGTAGGTGAGGAATGCATAGTCTTGAATACTGATGGATTTAAGAGAATACAATTTTATTCTTGGAAAACACTTTGGCGGCATCATTTCTTTCCCCAAGTCAAATTTCAAAGCCCTCTGCAGTTGTTTGCATTGGGATTGCTTGCTTTAACACCCAGAGTTGTTACACATCCACATGCTCCCATTGTCCGTGACCTGCAAATGAAACGCTATCCGTCTTTGTATTTATTTGATGTGCGGATTGTGCTGCCCAGGCACAGAGAGAATGAGAAGAAGCAGAAAGAGGAGAAGACTGTCAGGGTGACATCTGAGAAACTGGAATTTGGGCTTTCAGCACGAAGCCTTTGTAGGAGCTGTTGTTTCTGGACGCTGTGCGCAGTGGAGTGTTGCAATGTACCATCGCTGCTGCATTCATGTATGTTTAAAGTTTTGTAAAAGATGGTTATTGAGGATAGTTAAGATGGAGTTGGCGTCAGGGCTTCAAAAAGGTATAAATGGTTTCAAAAATGTATGTACTTGGTTTAAAAGTTATCAACGCTAGCTCAATTGTGTGGTTCACTACTCTATAGTTCTTTAATTGAATCAGAAGTGTTCTTTTACATTTTTTTGTGAATTTCAGTCCAATAAGGAGCCACGGGCAACATGATTCATTTAGATCTATCCATGGATTTCAGAATGATGAAAAACTGGACCATTGCCCTAGAAATGAACAATTTAAAATGTTCGATCTTTTTAGTGGTTAATGGTTTACAGTTTGGAGGCAGAAGTGTTCAGAAAGATCCATATAAATACCATTTTGTTATTCAGTGGATATAGTATTTATGTCTGAGCTTGGAAAAGTCATTATCACAGGATATGGTGAGTGCCTTGGTAGTTCTTTGCTGTTGTGTAGCCTATCCTAGTTATAATTTATATTCATGCATAAACAAGTGTTTTGTTTATATATCTATACTTGGCAATATCTCTCCCACTGCTGTAAAACTCTGTCATCTGTGCCCTGTGTTAGTTCATTTACATACAGCCCGGCCTGGCTAAAGTCCTTTAATCTGTGTTATTAGCCTGACATAGTTTCACTCTAATTGATTGTCTACCACCAAAATAACCTCCGTAATTGTGCTTGTGTAAATACGAGGCATGAATGTCGTTTCCACAAAGCCGACATGGCCCCATTAAGGATCAAAGACGGCGCTTCCTCAGTTATCGTCACATCACACGGAGGGCCACTGTGTGACAAACCCTGCAGGCCAAACAGGGCATTCTCTGCAGCCTCCTAACTGCTGCCAGTGGAGATTAGTACATTAAAACAACACTAAATCAAAACGAGAGCATTTAAATAAATTGACACAAAACCACCAGCCCTAGTTAAACCATATAGCCTTCCAATTTGATGCTTTATTCATTTACTCTCCACTCTCTATAATGGTGGTGATACTTCTGAAGTTGCAGGTGCTCTAGGACATTGTTTCCCAAAGACTTGGTTGCGACCCTCAAGTGGGTTGCAAGAGTTTTTTTTGGGGTCGCCTGATGTTGCTCTCCTCTTGCACCCTGGGCTGGAACGCGCTACAAAAAAATGCAGACAGGCCCAACTATCTTATTAGAAATGTTGACATGTTTGTATAATTTCTAATCTTTTTTGTAATTATTTTATTAACTATTTTGTTCCAATATTGCTGGTTTATTTGAATGTTGAAAAGAAAAAAAAGGGCTACATTTAATGTCCAAAAAGGCAACTTATGGATCCCTTTTATTGCTTAATTACTGTTTTTCATTGTTTAAAACCTGAGTAATACTAATTGTTCAGAGAGACATGATCACTCAGTCAGCAATAAAATATCCTTTTTAATGTTCAGTAATGGTCAGATCCACCTTTATTTTGTGATTTACAAATAATGTCTAATGATTTGGGTTGCGAAGGTTTGTGACTTTTAAAATATGGGTCCCCAGAAAAAAAAGATTTGGGAAACATTGCTTTAGGACACACAGTTACATGCACACAAAGAAAACCAGATAACTGTCCTAGTCAACTTTAAACCAACTTTTCAAAATGAATGTAAACCCAGTCCCAATAAGTTGAAGCCAGTCCCATTTGAATTTAATTTGAATTCTCAGATTTTTCTGTGACTGTAAATGAATCTAAAATAAAACTAGAAAAGCACTCAGAGAGCGCAGACCTCCGCCAAGGACTACCCCCATTTTTTATATAAATTGCGATAAAATCAGTCTTCTGGATCAGATCCGGATCAGCCTTTGGAATATGAAAGAGGATCCCATTGTCCATCCCTGAGTCAAATTACATGGGGTTTGGTCAATAATTAACCGAAATATTGAGAAACAAAATTTTTGGCCCCATTTACCACAATGTTAACTAAAATTTCTAAGTGATCCAGAATTCAGGATTTCTTCTGGATCACCCCCAAAATGAAATCAGTTCTTCCTTTTCACATTTCCAACAAATCCTGAAAATTTCATCAAAATCGGTCCATAACTTTTTGAGTTATGTTGCTAACAGACAAACAAACAAACGCCGGCAAAAACATAACCTCCTTGGAGGAGGTAACTAGGAATTCCTCCTTAGGGTTTATATTTTGCTATAGGGGCCTGATTGCATTTAAACTTGTTTAACACATGAAGGCAAACAAGGCTTTAAATACTGCATTGTGTGTGCACCCCCATGGACGATCTTGGACCCCCACACATACACACACAAAAAAGAGATGTCTGGAGCCATCCCTACCACACACCACTTTCATTTATAGGAAAGCTGAGAGAAGGATACAGAGATTGAACCACTGACCCGTGTGGTTGTGGGCGAACGCTGCTGCTATCTAGTATCCAGTGATATTACATTTTTATTTGCTGCTGTGGTAATTGCTAGAGATGTAACATTATCCAAATCTCTCGGTACGATGTTATCACGATATGCATCTCTCGGTACGATATTTATTGCGATATTTTGAAGAGGCTAATATAATTGTAGATGGGACACTTTTTTGCTTTTAAAATACCTTGAGAAGATTTTGGTGTGAATTATTACTGTCATAATCCCATGTTGTCTGCACTGAAACGAATCATGGGATATGTAGTTCCCTATGTTTATAACATGTTGCTACTATAAAAACCCTTCCATTTAAGCAAAGAAACTTGTAATTCGATATATTGTGAGACTTTTGACGATATCACGATATTTTGGTTATTTTTACATCCCTATTAATGGCAGGAATTAACTGAACAATGAACTTATGAGCAGTGAATTGGATACATTGTACTGTGCAGCTCTTCTCACAATTTCAAACCCGTCTCTCGTCACCACTCATGAAGTCTGTGCCGTGTGCCTCTCCAGCTCTCGTGACAGGCATGGATCTACTGTACGTCCCAGCTGGTTGACACAGCACTGTATGAGAGCTTTCATAATGTGAGAATACTCTATTGGAGGTCTGCACTGGCTGCCCCACTCACCAGAAAATGTAACCTCTAAAACCTTTACCATATCCTATTTTTTAAGTTTAAAAGTATTCTTCACAATGTTGTCTGTCTCTTCCTTGGTATTTATGGCGCTAACTTTGTTCTTCACCCTGTCACTCAGAAAAAGCAGTGAAAGGATATGCAGCTGGGTGATAGAAGTGCAAGCGAGTTGGAGGCAAGGCAGACATGGCAAAAATAAGACTATATAGGGTACGCTTCTGACTGCTGAGAATGTGTGCTGGTGTAGTGTGGGGTGAGCAGAGGGACAGAGCGATGAGATTACTGTGGTACGATGTGTATCATTGTGTTTTTTATTGTCATATTATTCCATTCATTTATTGACCAAGGCTAACATGGCATGCAGCTTCCTGTTAAGTTGTGATGCTTTTGAGTTGTTTCTAGCTCAATCAAATCAATCAAAATTGCTTTATTTGTTCCCGATGGGCAATTTAAGTAGCCAGGCAGGCGCCACCTAGTGCCTCCACTCAATTTAATTTCTCTTCAGCGACTAGGTCAGGAATCAGAATACACTAGATGGTTTGCAAGAGTCCCAGAAGTTGTAGACCGCGCACTGGCCAATCAGTGAAGAGCTGTGAAGCCATGACATCAAACTTAAGCGCCTGTCTGGGTCCCTTTTGTAGTGCAGCACAACAGTAAACAAAGCGGCCGAGATGGGTGTAGATGAAGCCAAACATTCTGTGTTGGCAACAATTCCTGAGATTGAGGATTTAAAGCTGGAACAAAGAGAATGTTTGGTCAATTTTATCAAGAGGAAAGACATTATTGCCCTTCTTCCTACGGGATTTGGTGCATTACATACATCACGACCAAATAGCAGCAGTTGGTTAAATAAAAAAGTACCCGCCTACCATCGAGCAAACAAATCCTAATGCTACGAGGTCAGACGGTTTCCATCCATCCATCCATTTTCGTCCGCTTATCCGGGGCCAGGTCGCGGGGGCAGCAGCCTAAGCAGGGACTCCCAGACGTCCTTCACCCCAGACACGTCCTCCAGCTCCTCCGAGGGAACCCCGAGGCATTC